CCCCCCCCCCCCCCCCAGAGCACCTCCGTCCTCTTAGAGAGTGAGGTCGTGTGTACACAGGCTCCAGCCAGGTGAGACTGTACCCGGAGAATGGATGAGGACGGCCCACATCAAGAAGGGCCCTCAACTGTGCCCACAGCCAAGGTCGGAAGGTTGTGCTCCCTCTCAGCTGTCACAGGCAGCCCTGAGGCCCAGGGGCCGCTGGTGGGGCTGGGAGAGGTCAGCGACCCCAGGGGCCTGGGTTTGGCCTTCACCCTCTACCCCGTCGACCCTGGGAGTTACCCTCCTGGCTTAGATCTGTCAGAAGGCCAGACTTTGGTTTTAGCGAAAATGCTGTGAAACACTGAAGGTGCACGGTGGTCACAGAGTCCAAATACTACCTGGACGGGCCACTCCCAAGTTGCATGTTGAGGGGCGGGTCTCCAACTTTGCTGGAACTCCCGCAGCCACCAGCAGATGTGAGGGCACAGATTAAGGGAATCTGTGGGAGGTCACTGGGGAATTTGCAAATGCAGGTGATTTTCAGCTGTCTGACACGCGCCAATGTATGCGAAGAGGGCGGCCACCGCCGGCTGCCCCCAGCGCCCCGAGAGGCCCCCGAGGGGATGTTTAACCAGGGCCACCTGTGTTGAGCAGCGTCAGGATGACCCCAGTCACCCAGTCATTCATGCGTCCCCTCCCTCTAGGCAGCACCTTACCGCTGATAGGATGTGGCAAAGGGGCAGAGGCCAGGCCCACGGTGACGGTGCAGACGACTCCCGGCACACTGGAAAGAGACCCTCCTGCTGGCCTTATGGAAGCAAACTGCCCAGTCGTGAACCGTCTGTGAAGGGACACGAGGATCCGTGTCCCACCGCCCGAGAATGACTTCTGCCCACAGTCTGGGGGACCGTGGAAGCAGACTGCTCTCCAAAGGAGCCTCTCATGAGGCCACAGCCCCAGCCTACACCTGGAGGGCATCCCACGTGGGAGCATCCTGGGGGGGGCCTCCCTTCTGGGGAGGACAGCTCCCAGGGGTTATGCTCCTGGGGTCAGCCCTGTGGAGGGACATCCTCCTGTGGGCATCCTCCAGGGGGTGGGTAGACTTCCTCCAGGAGAACATCCTCTGGGAAGAGGGATATTCTGGAGGAGGGGGTTTCCAGCAGTTAGGTGTCTTCCTCTGGGGGGAGGTTGTCCTCAGAGGCATTCTGGGGTGATTCTCTGGGATGAGCATCCTCCAGGGACATACCTGTAGAGCCGGTATACTCCAGAGGGCATCCTGGGGGAGGTGTCTTCTCCCAAAGGGAAGGGATATCGTGTAGGGGGGGTCCTGGGGGGACACCCTGGGGACAATCCCAGCAAGAACGGGGGCGGGCGTCCTCCGGAGTGACGTTCTCCGGGAGGGGCTGTGCTCGGAGCGTGGGGGGCCTTCTCGGGGCGGACGGCGCCGGTGGCCCCGCCCCCGGCCCCGCCCCGATCCCGCCCCGGCCCCGCCCCCGGCCCTCCCCCGCGCTTCCTCCTTCGCTCACTTTCGCTTCCGCCGGAGCGCGGGTCCCGCCGCCGCCCGAGCATGGACGACCCGGACTGCGACTCGACCTGGGAGGAGGACGAGGACGAGGACGGCGAGGGCGCGAGCGCTGGGGGCGACGAGGACGGCGAGGCCGGCGCCCCAGGGGACGCGGACGCGGAGGACGAGGACGAGGACGAAGAGGACGCGCCGGCGGCGCGGCCCGGCGCGCTCCAGGTGCAGCCTCGACGCGCGCCGGGGACCCAGCGCCCAGCCCCGGGGGGCGCCCGCCCGGCCGCCGCGAGGTGGGGGTGAGGCCCCGCTCCGGGAAGGCCGCCCCCCCCCCCGGCCCCCGGACACCCGGCTTGGGGCCTGGCTCTCCCTCTCCAGCTGTTGCCCTCTCCCCGACCCAGGCCCCCTGGTGCCCCCCTCAGGATCGCTGGACACCCTGAGACCCGCCCCGTCCCGCGCCTCCCAGCTCCGGCCCAGCCCGGGGGGAGGGGGGGGGAACCTCGCAGGGAGATCCAAGGCCACCCTCAGATCCGTGCGGTGTGATGATACTTCCTCAAGCGGATGCCCTGGGCACATTCTGGACTCGCCTCTGTCACTTCCCGCCTCCGGGCCCTTGGCTCTGTCCTCTGAATAGATCCCAGCTCTCCGTGCCGGCCGCCTGCTTCTGCCTGCCTTTCTGCCTCTGGGTGCCCCCTGCTTCTGCCCCGCCCTGCTCCCTCCCAGCCCCGGCCCGCCTCACCCCCACCGCTCCTCGCTGGGTGCAGCGCCCACCCGTGGGACCTCCCACCCTCTCGAAAGTGGCCTTGGAGGCCACATTTACGTGACCTGCCTGAGCCAGGGCTGCTCGCACCAGCTCCTAGCAGTATGGCTGCTGGTTTGTCATTATCAGCCGTTACTTTTGTTACTACTGATTACCTAGGTGACCAGCAGTTACTTTTGTCTTCACTGGTGATAGTCCTTGTTACGATCGGTTACTTTTGTTGCCACGGATTTCTTTTCTTCTCATCACCACTGGTTACTTTTGTTACTAGGGTCACTCAATACCAGGGGCCGGTACTCCCTGAGCCTCACATTCTGTCCCAGGGCAGGCTGGTCCCAGCTGGGGTTCTAGGTGTTATCGGGACTTAGGTGACAGCTGTCACTTTTGGAGGATGATGTAGTGGCATCGTGTCTATGGGGTCTTGAATTCCATCCCGTGTGATCTCTGGGTTGCGTTCTCCCCCAGACAGATGAGAGCTCTGGTTTCGGGTTTAGCTGGCTGTGTGGTGAAGTCTTGGTCAGGGAGAGGGACCCGGACGGGCTCCTGGGCCTGCCAGGGAGGCCAGAAGGCGGAGCACATCTATGGTGTTCGGGGCAGGCATGAGTTTCTGGAGGCAGCAGGCTGGGCAGTGGCCAGGGGTCACGGGGCAGGGATCTGGCTCTTCTGTGGCAGATGCCCGCCGGCTGGGGCACGAATTGGGAGAGGGTGGTGTCCTTGCTGTAGCTCCGTGAGCCCCACTCCCACAGCAGTGCGCCGGCCCCTCGGCCACTGAGAGGCGCCACAGTCATTGACTTCTACACGGGGCCCAGCTGTCTGGTACTTTGTCCTGGGCTGTGTCTTCTGTGCACCCGTGGGGCTGACCTGGGGATGGTGAGTGGGGCCAGCTCCTGCTGAGTTCTGGTGTCTCCTCGGGCCCTTGGCTGGTAGGCAAGAACATCACCAGCAGGCCCTGGTCTATAAATTGGGCAGAGAGGCACCCCCAGGCCCCTGCTGGAGCTCAGAACCATTTGGAGCATCTTGGGGAGTTGGGAGGGGGGTCAGAGCCAAGGGACACAGTGACAGGCCTGGCCTCCTGACTCCCCTTGTAGTGCCCCTTCCAGGATCCTGGACCCAGGTGTTTCCCTGGGACGAGCGGTGGGTCTCCTGTGGAGTCACGCCCAGGAGCCGTACCTGCCTGGGCCCTCTCTCCTGCCCCGGCTTCTGTCGGACCTCCGGCCAGGCTCAGCCTCGCTCACGCCTCCCACCCTCTAAGAGGGTGGGTGAAGCCGCCTTTACCCAGCATCCTAGCCGCGAAGTTACCTTCTATCCCCCCCAGGACCCCGGGAGCTTGGCCTGCAGAGATAGGGGCTGCAGGTGTTGGGGGGCAGCGAGGAGCCCCTGTGTCTCCCTGCACAGGCTCTCCCATAGGGCCGGAGGCCCGGAGACGCGGGGTCTGGTCGCCGAGCGTTGGGCGGGGGCCAGGCTGGTTCCCTGGGCCTTGGTCATCCATTTCTTCGTCAGGCAAGTGTTTGGGGCCCCTCCTGGGGCTGTAGGCTGGGAGGCCACGGCCCTTCGAGACACAAGCCTTGTGACAACTTAGAGCACCGTACAAAGAGAAAGCATTGGCGAAGGCAGGGGGACCAGGGGCGAGTCCCGGGGCTGCGGTCCAAATGGAGTTAGCCGGCAAGTACCGGAGGAGGCAGTGAAGCCAGGGCCCGGGGGCGGTGCTGCGCCCCAAGAACGTGCCGGTCAGCCTGGGATCCTGGGAGCGGGGGCGGCGGCAGGGGCTGAGCAGGGGGCAGGGCTTGTTCCTCCCATTCTGGTCCCTTCCGGTTTTGTTGCTAGCGGACCCCGTCCTTGCTGCCCTTACTGGGACAGGGGCTGGCTTGGGGTGGGCCTCCCCTAGGGGTCTCACCCATCTCCTCTCTCCCCAGGCCAGGACGACGGGGTCCCGAAACTGGCGAGCCGCGCGCGACACACGCAGGTACCGGCACCACTACCCGGTACGTAGCCGCCTCGGCGCCCGCACACCTCGGCAGCCCGCCCGGGACGGAGTCTCCCGCCCTCCGCCGGGAGAAGGCCATCGGGACAAGACGTCCCATCACCCCCCTCCTCAGACGAGGTCCCATGGCCCCCCTGGGACTGCAGCTCCTTCCCCCCCCCCCCCGGGGGAGGGGGGTGAGGAGGACCGCCTCTGTCTCGGAGCCTTTAAAGCAAGGGAGCAGCGCCAGCTAGTGGCGGAGCCACATGTGGCCCCGTGTGTCGGTCCGCGGGTCGGGGCCCATGTCGGTGGCGTTCCCGTGGCCCTCGCCCCTGCCCTCTGCACTGTGAGTGTCAGCCAACCCCTAGGCTACTTTAGGGGTACAGATGGAGGGGACCTGCCGCCCGGCCCGCGCTGGTGAGGAGGGAAGGTGGCGGTCAGAGGGAGCTGCTGTCCTCCCCAGTGCGGAGGCTGGTCCTCGCCTGCAGGGCGAGGGGCCCCGGCTGGGGACTCGGGTCTTCGCCAGCCTTCAGGATGTCGAGGCTCAGGGGCCCAAGAGCGGACGCCCGCTCCCCGAACGTTCTAGTGTGAGGGGCCCTCGGAGGCAGCCTATTTCTGGAGATGTCTCCACCGGCAACTTTCTCTGGCTCTTCAGGATTTGATAGAACGGGATGGCAACGGTGACATGCCAAACCTGAGTTTCTACAGAAACGAGATCCGGTTCCTGCCCAACGGTGCGCGTCTGCTGGGCCGCCTGCGCCCTGTCCCGGGGGGCGTCTGTGGCCCCACTAGGACCCTGTTGGGGACGGCTTCCTGTTGGGCCCGCGGTTTTCGGCTTGCCCCGCAGCGCCCCCTGCAGGCTGCTGCGGGGACGCCCTGGGAAGGGCCGTGTCGCTCACTACTGCTGCCTTGGTGGGAAAGCCGCACGTGTAAACTGGCGAGTAAGAGTGATTGTTCCATTTCCAAGTGGTTGGAAACAACTCAAGGTGGAAAATGTTCTGTGATGTGAAAGTGACACGAAATTCAACTGTGAGCGTCCATAAGGGAGAGTCCGTGGGAAGCCACCCACGCGCATTCGTTCAGGCGTGGCCGCCTTCCCACTACAACGCAGCACAATTGCAGCAGAGGACACGTGGCCTCAGAGAGTCACTGGCCCTTGGAAACAGTGGCCGCCCTACAGGAGGCCAGGCCATGGGGGGTGGGGCTCCGCTGGAGGTTCTGTCTGAGGTCGGGTTCCAGCGAACCAGCTGTGGTTTGGAGGGGGCAGTGAGGCCCCCTTTCTGCAAAGGCAGGTGGGGGTCTGGGACCCCATGTCCTCCTGGGCCCTCCGGCCCGACGAGCCCAGCGTGGCCCTTCTCACTCGGGTCTGTGCTCAGGCAGCAACGGAGAGCCCGTGTCGGACTGCAAAGAAACCGAGGGCTTCGGTTGGGGGGTTACGGTCACATGACACAGACACAAGCTTCAGAGCCCCGAGGTCCTCAACAGAGGAGGGGAGGGAAAGTGGGGGGACTTCTAGCAGCTCCTCACTGACTTATCCCCGTGGGGCCCCCAGGCTGTTTCATTGAAGACATTCTTCAGAACTGGAGGGAGGACTACGACGTCCTGGAAGAGAATCACTCCTACATCCAGTGGTGAGTGGGCGGGGCTTACCGAGCAGGCGCCCTCGGCGGGGCGGGGCTTACTGAGCAGACGCCCTCGGCGGGGCGGGGCTTACCGAGCAGGCCCCCCCAGTGGGGCGGGGCTTACTGAGCAGACGCCCCTCGGTGGGGCGGGGCTTACTGAGCAGGTGCCCTCAGTGGGGCGGGGCTTACCGAGCAGGCGCCCTTGGCGGGGCGGGGCGGAGCAGGGCTTACTGAGCAGGCACCGTCGGCAGGGCGGGGCTTACTGAGCAGGTACCGTTGGCGGGGCGGAGTTTACTGGGCAGGCGGCCCCGGCGGCGCAGGGCAGCGGTGGTGCGCGGCCTCTGAGGCTGTAGGTGGGCGTGGGGCGCAGGAAGAGCCTTAGACAGGCCGGCTTCCTGGGACGGGTCGGGCCCCGGTGCCCCTTGGACACTGACAGTGACAGGCCTCGAACAGTGGCCTGAGGTGATCCTTGCCGGCATGGCTGCCTTCGAGAGCCTTGACGCTGCCCCACAAACACAGTGTGCGTTTGAAAATGGCACGTCGGGGGCCTTTTCCTGGGCACAGCGCATCGTGGGGGATAGAGGAGACGCAAGGAGAACATAAGAATTAGGAGGACTGCCTGGAACGCCCTGGGCAGCACTGGCAGACCGGCTCGCTGCCGAGCACGCGCACGACTCCTCTAGTCGCGTGTGCACACATCTGGTGCCCTGGCCCGTAACAGGTTCCCTGCAGCCTTCCCCCCCTCACGCCTCGGCTTTGCCTCGTGAGAGCGCACACACATGTTCATCCAGCCAGGCTCTCCTTGAGTTGAGCCGTGAACCCAGAGAGGCTGGTGAGCCTCCCGGGACCGCGGGTGTGCGCCTTAGCTGGGAGCCCGTGCCTGCCGCCGACGGACCTGTAACCGTGCCTCCCACAGGCTGTTTCCTCTGCGTGAACCTGGAGTGAACTGGCATGCCAAGCCCCTCACGCTCCGGGAGGTTGAGGTGAGCTCTGATCGCTGGGAAGCCGTCCCGGGGAGCCCCTCCCCTCCGCGCTGGCCCTTGCCTCTGCCCCTGGTGCTCTCACAGGCTTCTAGAGAAATCTGGCTCTCTCCGGCAGTTTGCCTCCAAGGGGGAGCCCAGAGCCAGGGCTCTGAGCAGAATCATGGTGATGGGAGTTTCATCACACCTGGTTGGGGCTGGAGCAGAAGCTCCTGGAGGGACAAGAGGGTCGGGGGGGGGGGGGGGGGGCACGACGTGTTTCCTGCCCCGTGCTCAGCCCTGGGGTGGGGGGCGGGGGTGCATGATTCCCAGGAGCTAGATTCCCCTGGGGGTGAAGCCGGCGCCTCAGGCCCCAGTGAGACTCTGAGGCAGCTTAGAGAGGTTCATCATTCACTCCTGTCCGGGCTCCTGCGCCCTGGCGTTTTACCCTGAAAGTCTGAGTCCAGCCCTTTAGAAGAATCAGGGCCCGAGGGGGGCGCTGGCCAGCCGGATGTATGGGTTACGACCCCTGGGCTCCCCACTGGCCTCGGGGGTGTGTTCCAGGCATTTAAAAGCTGCAAGGAGGTCAGGGAGCGGTTTGTGCAGGCCTACGAGCTCATGCTGGGGTTCTACGGGATCCAGCTAGAAGACAGGAGCTCGGGTCAGGTGCGCCGAGCACAGAACTACCAGAAGCGCTTCCAGAACCTCAACTGGTGAGGACCGCCCCTCCCCCACCACAACCGAGGAGGATGGGGCCGCTAGGTTTCAGGCAGGTGTGGGGGGAGCACTTTGGTGGAGGAGGGACTCCAGGGCCACTGGGGCAAGTGACTAAAGGCTCTCTGAACACCCTCCGTGTTTGCAGGGTGGGGGTGGTGCCACTGATAGGGGCGTGAGAGCCGGTCAGTTTCACTGCTAGCCGCGCTGGGTCCGCCTGGGTGTGGGCCAGGATGCCCATAGCACCCTCACCTTGGCAGGCACGGCCCTCCTCCTCCCTGGTGAGAGGCACCGGATGGGGAGGAGGTAAAGGGGGTGGGTCTGCTGATGACACCAGTGCCCCTGCACGTGGGTAACAGGTCCCGTGCTCTGGGGGGGGGGGGAGGGTCCCCGGGGGGGG